CAAAACACTTTACACTACGTGTCCGGTCTATGTGTTCTCTGGTTAGTGGTTCAGGTCAGAGGTGGGTACGGGCCGGGTTTTTATCGGGTACCCGTGGGCATGGGCTGAAAAATCTAATTTCGGGCTGGGTGCGGGCGGGTGTGGGTTAGACTGCTTAATCCGTTTTACCTGAACAAATTTTTACTGTTTTATTAAAATGTTAAATGCATAATAAATTGTTTAATTTGCAGGCGCACTGTGCTCGACATCGATAACATTATGTGCGCTTGCAAATTAAGCAATTTATTATGCATTTAAATTTAAATAATACAAATTGACAAATTGTAAAGTGAAATAGAGCCAACAATTCACATATGTATATGCTATATGGTACGAGAAACTAAAAAAAAATGTTAAAATTGAAATATATGACTCCAATGAAATTATTTTTGCTTTCGGGTACGGATAACATTTTGAGCTTCTGATCCGGATCAGGCCGGGTGCAAAAAAGTCGGTCCGTGCCCACATCTAGTTCAGGTTATACCAAGTAGTCGAGACTGCTGAACCCTCCAAGCTGATATTCTAATAATTCTGCACTCCTTTTACGCACAAGTACATACACATGCATCCACACGTACGTATAAGCACGCACTCTGATAACTGAGCAGTATGTGTTGCCTGGTTAGTGGCTGCAAGCTCTAATTATTCTGCATTTCATTTTTTGAACAATTTCTCTTGTAGTTAGATTATCTTTATGAAACTCTAAGAACGTTATCAAACTCATGGTACATTCCAAAGCTCAAGCCTCTAAAATAAAATAAAGTCGACTCATCTCTCATCTCGATCAAAAATGTATAAACCTTTAGGAAGACAATACAAATTATAAAAATAATTTTACTCAAGAAAATATATTTTTGATTCATATTATTTACAAACATTTTATAAATGCATAAGCGCAAAAAAATATATGGTTGTCCATTGCGATAACCTCAAAATTGTGAAATTGATGCCGATGATGCTTACAGCTTTGAGTCCCTTGCGCCGGCTAGTCAATTCGAATCCAACACGGACATTGCTTCCTTTTTTTCTTCTTCCAATTCCTTACCAGTCAAATCTAGTTTGGATCTACCAAAAGTACTGATACCTAGGTTTTCAACTATTTTCCATTGCTTGTTCTTAATCTCAACTGGAAACGAGAACACTACGTCTTTTGGCGAGCCATAACTGCCATCGGAAAACACACCCATGGAAACAAATTTGCCTGGAGCAGTGCCATTCCACCAATCATGCATATGGTCGCATGCAGCCTTTGCTGCTGACATGGCTGACGACATTTTCCGTGCGCCTATAACTGCTGCGCCTCGTTTTTGAACAGTTTCTACAAATGGACCTTCCAAATACCCATTATCTTCAACAGCATCAACAATATTTTTCCATTCATTATCAATAAGTATTTTTCCATGGCTAGCATCTGGGTATTGCGTCGAGGAATGATTTCCCCAAATAATTAAATTGCTTACGTTAGAAATCGGCACACCGAATTTAGAAGCGATCTGTGCTGCGGCTCGATTTTGATCAAGGCGTGTCATAGCCGAGAAGTTCTCGCGTGGAATAGATGGTGCGTAGTTGGCGCACACTAAGGCATTGGTATTTGCTGGGTTTCCAACAACGAGCACCTTAACATCTTTTTTCGCGACTTTATCGAGAGCTTCGCCTTGTACTTTAAATATCTTAACGTTCGCAGACAACAAATCCTTGCGTTCCATCCCCTCTTTGCGGGGCATAGCGCCTACGAGGAAGGCTGCAGAAACGTCTTTAAATCCTTCCAACGGATCCGTTGTGGGCACAACTTTACGCAATAAAGGCAATGCACAATCGGAAAGTTCCATCACGACGCCTTCTAACACTCCAGCCATTGGCGGAATATCAAGCAGATGTAAAATTAGTGGTTGTTCCTTGCCAAAAACTTCTCCCCTGGCGATCATGTAAAGTAAGGAGTAAGCTATTTGACCAGCCGCTCCAGTAACAACAACGCGGATTGGTTCAGCCTATTAGAAATTACAAAAAGAATATATTTACAAATTATTAAAGTAAATATTAGTAAATAATAAATAAAGACACACATATTGGAATAAAGCTTCATAATAAAGGAAGTTTACGACTTCATTAATCTAATAAAATGAAATGGTGTTAGGATTGATTTGTTTTTGTACGCTGAACTCATTGAAAATGGGAAATCAGGGTAAAATGCTAGATGTACGTAAAGGGGCCCATCCACTAGCGAACATGTTCGCCGAACATTTTGGTTTCGTCGAATGTTTGCATGAGGATGGTAATGTTCGCACGAACATTTTGTTCGCCGACCGTGTTTCTATTTTACGCGTGTTCGTGCGAATATGTTCGACAATGGATTGGCATGTTCGCACGAACATCATTTGAAAAAATTACTTGTCAAATCAACACGTGCAAAATGAACAAAGCATTTTTAGAGGAATTTATAGAATCTCTTAAAAATGAGCCATGCTTTTGGCAAAATAAGGCTATGACGACTATATGGCTTCATTAAATTTGTTGAAAATGGAAATGCATCGTTTCCTACCAACACATACGGAGACAATACTCTGTCATTGAAACATTTTCAAGACATGTTTCCCTCTCGAATTTTATAAAATGATGTTCGACGAACAATGTTTGCCCAGTTGGTGGGAAAAGTGATTATGGTCGGCTAAAATGTTCGCAAGAGGATGGGCCCCTTAATAAACAGAAGGGAGCACGCCACAATGTACAAACACCAGACTCAAATAATTAAAAGTAGGTCCGTGTATATCACGCGCCTATCAAAATTACAACTGTTTATCCTAAAATTAGCATTAAGCAGATTTAAAATATTAGAGATTTATACTCCAGCAAATACAACTACTTAATTGGTATTAATACGCTCTGAAAGTTCTATGAAGATAGTCTACAAGAAAAGTTATTAATCTATATATAGATTAATCGTGTTATTTTGTGCGTGTTTAATCGTTCGTTTGTACGCATGTGTAAATTTGCTGTGTCTTTTGTAAGTAGAAAAAGATCGAAGATTTATTAAAATATCAGTTCGCTAAAAGTTCAGGAAATCTCGTGGTCAAGTAGTCTCGTTTTTCGTAATTACTATTATTTTAGGATTTTTTGATTTATTATGTCCAATTATAATTAATTAAATTATATAATTATAAGCGCTAGACGCAATAACTTTTTTTTAACGTCCGAATATATAGCGCGCATATAGAGTTTATCACTATATGCGCTATATTTTTATCGATAAAAGACCTTATCGAAGATCAGTTATAAAATTATATCTCCCACATCTTTAAAGGTAGAGTCTCGAAATTTAAAATGTATATTAAGATGCATTTTATACAATTTCGATTTTTGATAAAATTTACCCCCACCTCTATATCCACCCCCTCACCGTCATCTTTGTAAAAGACGTATTTCAAATTCTAGAGACTAGTGTATACATACATTTAAACATAATAAGTTTCATTACGATTGTACGTTGTGTGAGTGTGTGTGTGCGAATTATTGTTGAAATATCATTTCCTCGAATGGTTCAGGGGATCTTGTAGTCGATCAGTCTCGACTAGAGCTTTTTTACTTGTTAAATATTGAATTTCAAAGTAAGACATTCTCAACGGATTAAAAAATTTTTAAAAACTTAGAAGTAAAAGAGTCTATTGATTTTATTAGTAAACAGTTTTTTGTTTGTTTTCGAGTCCGCTAATTTTTTTGGTTACCTCATAAGAGGTAATTCCAATAGAGATAAAACAAAATATTTTTGATTTTGGGAATTGTCTGTAATATTTTAAGCTTCGTCAAAGTCATCTGATTTAGGATTGCATTGTGAATTGTAAATAGTGTGAGAAGTAATTCTCATCTTTCGGCGTAAAAATTTGGAAAGTTTGTCTAAAAATTTGGAAAGTTTGTTAAAAGTGTGTGGCACGTAGCAAATCTTAAGTAAACTAACTGCTGAGAATTATAACACTTCATCGCAATGTAATCCTAATATGCTAGAATAAGTTTTAATGTATGTGTACACATGTATAGAAAAATTTGTTGCTGCATGTGGAACGTGCGGTTGTTAATTGGCCAAACATTTAATGAAACTTTCAGCTTATGATCGACATATTCTATTGAATATTTGACATTTAAAACAAAAGCCTAGTTATTCACTATTAGCTACATATATTGGCACCTGACCTTCGCTAGGGAGTCTGGTGAATTTGGAGTCGGTACCCCAAAAATAACAAATACAGAAGTTGTATAAAAATCTAAAAATATATTTAAAATTTTGAGACTCTATTTTTAAAGATGTAGGAGTTCTAATTCAATGACAACTTTTAGATACGATAACAAAATAACGGGATGACATCGATTTTTGGAGATAAACTCGATATGCGCGCTGTATATACGAACATTTTAAAAACAAGAAAGAAAGCTCTAGTCGAGACTGCTCGACTACGAGA